AGGGATTAGCTGAGCAGACAGCAGCAACCAGCTTAATGACATGGCAGAATAGAATAGCTTTAGATATGCTTTTGGCTGAGCGGGACGGGGTTTGTGTTCTGTTTGGATATATGTGCTGTACTTTCATCTCCAACAATATAGCACCGGACGGGCCCGTGACCAAAGCGCTTGAGTGACCATCACCACGCTGGAGAACGAACTGGTTGAGAACTCTGGTATTGATAGCTCCATAAACGGTTGGTTTGATAACATATTTGGTAAATGGAAAACTATTGTTGTGACTATTCTGGGTGAAGTTATAGCTTCTATGGGTATACTTGTTCTTTGTGGATGTTGTCTTATTTCCTGGCTGAGTGACTGGTTTGGTGAGTACTCTTCTATGGTGGTTACTGGATTTCTGACCCTAGTAATTGTGTTTTTGCTGTTAATGTGTTGTGCTGCTTGCATCGTCCCCTGTCTCAGGAGGTCAGTGGTAGGAGCGGTGCAGGCGTCAGGTATGATGCTGTTGTTACCGGCCCAGGATGATGCGGGTGACTCTGCTACTGACTCTGAGACCAAGCTGGATGATCCATGGTTTGCCTAGTAAAATACATACACGCATTTATTTTCAGTTCTTGCTCATTTATTACCTTATGTTTTTACTAACCACTGCGATTGTTTATTCTTCCTGATGTGAAGGTAAAGGATTCCTGGGTGGCTGGTAGCCAACTCAGTACATGTTAGGTGTAGGGGAGGAATAGAGGGTTAAAATTATTTTATTTTTTATTTTTTATTAACATTAAATGTTGTGATTTAATTTCCATATCCTGTTATTCTTAAGGGTGATTATACTCTGTTTAGAGTGACACCATAAATGGTGTCAAAAGAGGGAATTCTAAAATTTCCCTTTAAAAATCTTTAATCACACCCTAGAGTTTTAATAATCTTGTGTTTTGTGTTCACTCTAGGGATAATCCTGTGTTTTATGCTTTATTAATCAAGTTAACCATGTGAATGTTTGTCTTTCCTTATGTGAAGGTTTGAACTTCTTTGATGACTGGTAACAGTTTGCAAGTTGGGTGTAGATTGAAGGATTTTTATTATCAAATTGTCTATTAATAAAAGTGTTTATTTTTGTTTGTATTGTATTTTAATGAGTGACACCCTAGAGGGCGTCAAAAGAGGGAATTGTTGGGTTTTATTTTTCTCATAATTGGATCTGTATGTGATGGATAGCTTGGAAGGAATGCATTAATGAGGAGCACTGTACTGATATGGATTGTTTCACATAACAGGGTGGGGAACGTTGGGGGTAGGACAGATAAGACTTGTGTTTCTTGCAGATGCGAACACTCTCTCTTTGTATTCTGTGAAACTGTCCTTGAACATGGAGTACAGTGGGATGATGTCTTTCTGGGTGCTGACTCCGCAGGTTATCATAGCAACTATGTCTAGTAACAAATGGAGTGCCGAGGAGTTGGGCCCACCCCTGCGCCAACGGATTGGCTGGACCACACTCAGTCCTTTGCTCTGGTTGGCCAACAGAAGAAGTGGAGGATTTCTGTCAGAGTATTTTAAGAAGAACTTAGAACAATGGATTAGTTAACTGAGTGCCCTGCGTGGTATTTCAGTGGACCCGTATATACGAACCTTCATACTTATCATACATACATTTTGCATATAATAAATTAAGCTTGGATTGAAGATCTCTTGATTCTTATTCCAATACCAGATTTGAATTACGCAATTTCTAACAGATGGGAGAACCTTCCAGAAGGACAACCATCTCTGCAGCACTCCACCAATCAGGCCTTTATGGTAGAGTGGCCAGACGGAAGCCACTCCTAAGTAAAAGGCACATGACAGCCCGCTTGGAGTTTGACAAAAGAAACTTAAAGGACTCTCAGACCATGAGAAACAAGATTGTCTGGTCTGATGAAACCAAGATTGAACTATTTGGCCTGAATGCCAAGCGTCACGTCTAGAGGAAATCTGGCACCATCCCTACGGTGAAGCATGGTGGTGGCAGCATTATGCTGTGTGGATGTTTTTCAGCGGCAGGGACTGGGAGACTAGTTAGGATCGAGGGAAAGATTAACGTTGCAAAGTACAGAGAGATCCTTGATGAAAACCAGCTCCAGAGCGCTCAGGACCTCAGACTGGGGCGAAGGTTCACCTTTCAACAGGACATAGACCCTAAGCACACAACCAAGACAACGCTGTAAAGGGTCTGAATACTTATGTAAATGTTATATTTCCGTTTTTTATTTTTAATACATTTGCTAAATCTTCTAAAAACCTGTTTTTGCTTTGTCATTATGGGGTATTGTGTGTAGATTGATGAGGGGGAAAAAACAATTTAATACATTTTAGAATTAGGCTGTAATGTAACAAAATGTGGAAAAAGTCAAGGGGTCTGGTTACTTTCCGAATGCACTGTATTTAACCACCTATTTTTGGCACTAAACAGTCTCCATATGTACTGTAGCTTAGGCCACGGCCAGGATTCAGCCCTGCTGAATGGACAGAGCCTCTGTGCAGGTTAACTCTGTGGTGCTGAATGGACAGCACCTCTGTCTAGCCTATAATTCTTACAGTTTGTGGACAGGCCAGGAGATGGTATGTGGGCACAGATTGTACAAAACCCTCTCTCAGACCCTTTCTCTGACCTTGGGAGTTAGAGGCACACTTTGAGACTCTCTAGCCGCAGCAGAGGTTACCCCAGGTTATAAACTGTCTGTTCACACCTCTACCCCTCACCACGCTGTTTGGTTGGTAGGGGAGGTTGCTAGGAGGGTGGACACCTGATAGCCCTTCTGAGAGGGCAAGCTCCTCAGTCTCTCACTGCAGCCCCAGGAGTCAACAGAAAGTTGACAAACCTCCTGGCTGTTCCAACAGAGAGGGCGTCACCGGTGGACCTCTCCCTCATGGGCCTTGCTCAACCTTACTCTGGACATTCCTCTACGAGTGTTTAGTTGCTCAGTAACCAACATAACCAATTTTGCAGAGTCAGGGATCTTCTGCTGTAATTTATGCCCAGTGTGTATTACTATGTAACTACATGTCTATACACACCTTCGATGTGAATGTATCTTTGTTACATCCTGGTGTAGGGTATCATGTTACATAGTCCATTTATCCAGTCCTGTGTACTTCAGCCAGGCAGTACAGTCTTGGCCCATTGTTTGCAAAGGCCTGAAGATAACCGCCATGTTTGTGTGTTATGCAACCCAAGATGGCTGCCCACATGGCCTTACTATTGTTTACATGCTAGCCTAGCATTGGTAGCTTAGCATGCTACTTCTAGATGCAATTGTTTACACTGCTGTGCTGTATGCTATGCTAGCCCTACTAGCCAATGCTATTAGCTGTACTCTGTATAGCAACCCACAGCCTTTGACATACTAGCCTGGTGTGCTAACTGTTGATGCCTATGCTAGTCTGCCTAGTTCCTATTGTGTGTTAGGTTAGCCTAGCCCCTGTACATAGTGTGTTTATAACCTGTGCTATGCTTAGCCTGTTAGGCCTTTGCTAATTACTTAGCGCTACATGTACATTACTACCTATGTATATTCCTGCTATATTGCTACCGTAGCACTGCATTGCCATAGCCTTACTGCTATATAACACATTGTAATACCCTATCCTACTATCTGTATTGATCCTTTTGCACTAACTCTTTTGACTCATCACATACGCTGCTGTTACTGTTTATTATCTATCCTGTTGCCTAGTCACTTTATCCATACCTATATGTACATATCTACCTCAATGACCTCGTACCTCCCCACATCGACTCAGTACTGGTACCCCATGTACACGGCCAAGTTATCGTTACTCATTGTGTATTTATTCCTCATGTTATTATTTTTCTATTATTTCTCTTTTTTTCTCTCTGCATTGTTGGGAAGGGCCCATCAGTCAGCATTTCACTGTTCGCCTACACCTGTCGTTTATGAAGCATGTGAAAAACAAAATATGATTTTTGATTTCGTTTGTGTATTTCTCTCTCTGTTCTAGAAACCACTATCACTTAGACTTTCACTAGTCCACTTCCTGTCTGCTGTGTGTGTGTGTCTTGTAGTAAAAAAAAATGTGTGAACTGTGTATCTGTCTCTATCGATCCAGTATCCCTGCACATATGGAACTGGAACTGACCCTGTGTATAGTATAGTATATTCTATTAGTCTATTTACTAGTATAGTCTATTTACTTTATCGTGTTCTTCTTCTTTCTTATTTTTATATCTGGTGTGTTTTTGTTCTACCTTGTTATTTTAGTATTACATTGTTATTGATTACTGAATTGTTGGGGTTAGAGCTATAAAGAAAGGCATTTCACTGTACTTGTGCATGTGACATTAAAAACTTGAAGCTACTTGTAATTCCCATCCTCTAGCCAGGGCGCTGGGACAGTTCTATCTCTATCAGAGACCATCACATGTTGGCGCTCTTTTTCACAGTTCGTTTCACACGCACTGACTACGTTTTACACGTTTGTATAGGCTAATAAACAGTTTTTCCCATGTTTAGGTAGCCTAAAGGAAAACAGTCACATTTTGAAGAAAGACATGCTTAGGGAAACAAGAGTAAGCATTTAGGGGTAATGATGAACCCAGACAATTCCACCGTGTTTTCGGATAGGCCTATATCAACCAAAATACAGAATGATTTGATTGAAGCTGTTTCTAATGTAAGGACAGACAAATGGACTTCATTTACAAGTAAAGGTAGGCCTAAATGCATTTTACTTTGCAATTTGCGGGTATAGGCTACTGTTGGCATTGTGCATGATGACTTGTTGTTTTTGCTGCACATTTCACGCCAGATCGATCTGTGTGTTCTCCAACGTTTTTAGGGTGATCTGGTGTTGTGATGTGCGATGCTGCTTTTTCATGTTTGATGAGACCTCGCATGCAACCCATAATAAAGACTATGCAATCTGACTCCATAAAGATGAATAGCAAAGTGCAACCGAGACTCTTAAAGCGCTACAGGAATAGACTATCAAGTAAGGTCTGAGAATTGTCTATCAAAGGCAAATAGGTTTAATATCATTGTAAAATGAATGATTACATTATAAGGCAATACTGTAGCAGAGTGACATTGAGTGATCCTGGGACCGCCTCTTTGCCTCAATAGTAAGTCTCCTGGTACACCCAACCTGAAAGAAGAGACAATTCAGAGAAAAAAACAACAGAATTAGTTCGATTTCATCTTGCCACACTGCAAATCTCCATGATACAAAAGGATATAATTCGGCACTCCCAATCCTACATGTCATTATACAATAATTGACAGAGACGGCCAATTGTCGGCATTAGCTTAACAACTTGTTGTGGTCCATAGTCCCTGAGCACTTACCTCCTGGGTTCCGTCGCATGATGTATTTCCTAACCTCATCATAGATGAAGATGAGCAGGGTGTAGGGAAAGGCACACACCCACCAGAAAGGCCTGAGGAATAACAGAAGGAAATAGAGAAGAAACATAGAAGGAAAGAGGGAAGGAAAAGAAAAGAAAATATTAAATTGAGCGTAAATCTGGGAGCTGCTTTTTCTCTCTCGGTTAGGCAGTAAACCCCATTACACTTCAGCTAGCTAGTGAACCCCAACTGATCCTGTGAGGCCGCAGTAGTCTCCGCCCTTTATCATATCCACCCATTTTACCACTCATCTTTTAAAACAGGCGGTGACCTTTGTTCCAAGCTGGTATACAGAAGAGTTTAAGATAATCTGAAGGGTCTACTGCTCACTTGAGTGGGTACATTCTGATGGCGACATCCATTCCAGGGCAGTAGGACAGGAAGAGAGCCAGGGCGGATTCCGAACAAAGTCCGAAGATGAGAACACGGTTCCTTTAGGTGGGAGGAAAAATAAAATATCTTTCATGAATTTAAACCAACAGGGTGGATATTGATTTTGAAGTGAGTTGCAGGGTTGTATGAACATGTGTGTGTGTTGTGTGTGTGTGTGTACCAGACTTAGACCAAGACCACGGAGATCGATGTGTGTACTTACTTCATTAGTCCCTGCTGAAAGAAGGAGTTCTTCCTGGTCTTACAGACGACCAAAACGGCCCACTGTGCAATCACGACAGCGACGAAGTACGCTGTGTGGCAGGTAAACTCAATAATCTTTCTGCTCTCATATGTCTGAAGGATGGGGAGAGAGAGTGCGAGAGAGAGAGAGAGAGGGGGAAGCGGGGGAGAGAGGGGGGAGAGAGCGAGATGGTGAGGACGCGAGTAGAGTCTTTAGTCTTCGCGGACGCGAGTCTGCGAGCTCTTCCGCGCTCTTCTCTCCGGGCTCCTGTGCTCCTGCTTTGTCGCCTTGTGTGCGATCTTCTATGTCCCTGCGAGGATTCAGCTTTCTCTCTCTTTTCTTTCATTGTTGCTTGAATGGGTGTGTGACCTTGATCCAGTGACAGGCAGGGGCATCACACAAGTGTACAATGGTGTTTTATTACTGATGTGAATGTGATCCAGTGCAAGCGGTCATACAAGTGTACAAAGGAGTCTGGGGAATAGTAGCAGCTGTTACGAATTGGGGGTTGTGAGTTGTGCTGCCGAGGCTACGGACCTGTCTGTGTCTGCCTCTCTGGCAGTGACTGAAAGGTTCCCTCTTTCTCAAGACCATTGATTCTTCCTTTCGCTGACTATCCAAAATGCAAGCTGTGCATCAACCCTGATGCATAATCCCAGCCATGACTTCTGAACTTTGTTTTTTAATACTATATCACATTTATTGATTTATTTCGTTTTCTTGAATTTCCTGATGGAATAAACTAACTGGACTAAACTACATTTGAAAAAAATTGGAGAGAGATTGAAAAAGCTCTAATGGAGAACTCATCACACAAGAAGGTACTCAAAACAAGGCTAATGCTAATCCCTTCATAGAAATATAATGAATAGAACGGGCTAGGAAGCTATAACCCTGACAATTTGACCGGTATACTCATGCCAGCTCACCCATTATGCCATCATTGACTTGAATGGAGACGCCCTTTCTATTCATTCTATTTCTATGGATCCATTAGTAAGGCGTCAGCAAAAGGCAGAGCGGCATTTGTGTACTCACCCACTGCTGGCCGTAGCTGTCCTCCAAGTCGTTGATAAACTGGTTTTCCCAGTCCAAACGGATACCTAGCAGATCCATGGGATAGAACCCGTTCTCAGCCATGATTACAAAGTATGTGAAGAAGCCGGCTGCGGCCAACATCACTCCTGTGAAGAGGAAGAAGGAGGAGAGTATTAGGTAATACTTCATTTAGATAGTCTGTAGAGCATCTACAGATGGGACTATCTACAGACTAACATCAGTAACATTTCAACTAACTATCTACTAACCCTAGCGCTAACCCTAACTTTTCCTTACCCTTACCCTAACCGTAGCAAGCAGTTGCTTATCAACAGATAGTCTGTTGTTAGTATGATGTTTTGTTGATAATACAGATGGACTATCCTAATAAAGTGTGACAGAGTATTTTGTCAGTGAAGAGACATCGATCAGATTGTAAATGTGCTATGAAACAGACTGGTCAACATACAACTCAAAAAGACCCGTTAAAAGGGCAGGCAAAACAGAAGCAGGGTCAAATTAACGCCTTACCAAATTGACCGTAGGCCACACTAATGAGTCTCTCGTTCACCAGTCGGTCGGTTTTGGGGTTCCGTGGCTGTCTCTTCATGATGTCGTTCTCAGCTTGTTCATAGGCCAGGGAGATAGCGGGGATCTTGAAGGTATCGATGGGAAAGATCACCCAAATTAGAAACACATCGTTGCTAACTTCGATGTTAGTGAAAATACCTTCTGAACAACCTCTGAAATGATCACGGACATTGTTTGTGGTGATGCACCAGAACACATGATCAGATTGTTCACAAAGGAGGAGTATCCACATCTGAAAGACCCACCATGTCAGTTCCCAGGTCGATGCAGAGGATGGTGACGGTCCCTAGAGCCAGCGGAATGTTGGCGAGGAGCAAGAAGAGGAAGGGGGTCATCTCTGGAATTTTACTGGACAGGGTGTAGGTGATGGACTTCTTCAAGTTGTCAAAGATCAGACGACCTGAGGGGAAATAGAGGGTGGAAGGGATAGTCAGGGTGATGACAGAAGGATGGAAAGACACAGCAGATTGATAGTCATCGGCAGAGCTCCTCATACCCTCTTCAACACCAGTCACGATGGAGGCAAAGTTGTCATCCAGGAGGATCATGTCTGCAGCCTGCTTAGAGACGTCAGATCCAGCGATACCCATAGCAACACCGATGTCAGCCTTCCTCAGAGCAGGAGAATCGTTCACACCATCACCTGTCACAGCCACAATGGCACCCTGTGGATAAGTAAGAGAGGTGTTTAAAGGTCTTAGCAACGAAAGATGCAATGATCCCGACTGACACATAAGCATGGATTCATTAACTAAATAGTACCTGACGCTGGCAACCCTCCACAATAATCAGCTTCTGCTGAGGAGAAGTTCTGGCAAACACAATCTCAGTGTGATGCTTCAGGATGTCATCCAACTCTTCGGTGGTCATGTCCTTCAGCTGTCCACCATGGACAACACAGGCCTTGGCATCTCTGCATGGCACAAAGATGGAAAGTTAAAATATAAGCTAAATATAACTGGCTTGTATTTTTCCCAAAACTGCAAAATATAGGTTTCTGTCACTCAGCTTTAAGTGTAGAAAGTATGATGACATACACCGAAATTATCCCAAACAAACTGCAACATACCTTGGGTTGACCTCAGAAACTGGGATTTTCAGACGAGCAGCAATTTCCTCAACAGTCTCGTTGCCCTCAGAGATGATGCCCACACCCTTGGCAATGGCCTTCGCAGTGATGGGATGATCCCCAGTAACCATGATAACCTAAGCGTAGGAAGGGAAGTTGAGTGGTCTGATCAAAGTGGCTGTTATGTGTGATGGCCTAAGAGTGTTGAGTTTAATATGATATTGCCATACCTTGATTCCAGCACACCTGCACTTGCTCACAGCGTCAGGCACGGCAGCACGAGGAGGGTCAATCATGGACATGAGGCCAACGAAGCACAGATTCTCAGTGGGGAAGTTCATCTCTTCACAGTCAAAGTCAAAGCCTTCGGCAAACTGGTCATCAGGGAGCTGGAAATGGCAGAAACCTGAAAAGGACACAGAGTCATAAACACGCTAGAACAAATCCTGCATGTTCAAGACTGTACATTAGCTCCCAAACGTTTGAATGAATATGTTTCCATATTGGTGTGTGCCCTCTTACCCAGCACTCTCTCTCCCAGCCCTCCTAGAGCTTCGTAGGCGTTCTGAAATGATGCTTTTATCTCGTCATCCAGAAGATGTTCTTTGCCTTGGAGCAAGATGGTGGAGCAGCTGTCTAGGATCCTCTCAGGGGCTCCCTTCATCACCAGCAGATGCTTGGACTCGCCGGCCGTGTTGTTCTCATGAACGGAGAGCTAAGGGAAGAAATGTATTGTTTTTTGATGAGATGACACCATGAAGAGGGTTTACTTTATTTAAAATAAAATAACTCAGCAGGTTACCAGTAAGCCTGGTAAAGTAAAGTTCCGGCAGCGTATTGGATGTAGATACCCAGTGGCAGTTACAAGCTGATTGAGAAAAGCCATCCATGATTTTAAATCCATGACACCACCTTTTAGATCACAGTTTAACCCGTTGTTAACCCACACATTTTACTTCTTCAGTTTGTCAGTTTTTATTGTTATATTTTGTTTTTTTATCCTCTTATGTTTGTTGTAAATATTTCAGTTTTTACTTCAATTGTTTTTGTCCATTGTTTTTTCCTGTGAAGCGCATTGCATTCCATGTCTGAAATGTTCTGTGTAAATAAAGCTTGATTTGATTTGATTGACCAGATACTATGTATAAAGAGCACGTGTGGTTACCTGGTATTTGTTGGTGGAGTTGAAGGGGATCTCAACGACTTTGCGGTGCTTTTCTCTCATGTCTTTGACAGACCCACAGCACAGCTCGATACACTTCAGCAGGGCAGTCTCTGAGGCGTCACCACATACATCTCTTTTGAGGATAGGTACGTTGCTCTGTTCTGCCAGGAAGACGGCGCGGTTGCACAGGCCGGCGACTCTAGCCAGTGCAGCCCAGGTGGAGGAGCTTTTGTCGAAAGAGGTACCGCTCTGGTTCTCTGTGGTGTCAGCGTCATGGATCTGGTTGTCGAACCACATGTGAGCCACGGTCATTCTGTTCTGGGTTAGGGTGCCAGTCTTGTCAGAGCAGATTGTGGAGGTGGACCCCAGGGTCTCCACAGCTTCGAGATTCTTCACCAGGCAGTTCTTCTTGGCCATACGCTTGGCAGTCAGAGTTAGACACACCTAAGATGGAAATCCATAGCAGAGGGTTAAAGAATAAAAAATTAGACAAAATATGTTTTGTTGTTATTTTTCATGAAGATTTTGTTAAACATTACTTTTCATCAGCACTCACAGTTACAGTAGCCAGGAGACCCTCTGGCACATTAGCAACGATGATTCCAATGAGGAAGATGATGGATGGCAGCCAACCATAGCCCAGAATAACAGAGAGGATTAAGAAAGTCACGCCGAAGAAGACGGACACACCGGTGATGATTTCGATGAAGTGATCAATTTCAATCCCGAGAGGCGTCTGCCCACTTTCCAGACTCATGGCCAAGGCGGCGATACGACCCATGATAGTGTGGTCACCAGTGTTGATGACGATACCTCTGGCAGTTCCTGGAGGGACCAAACATGGAGAATATGGTTTGGAACAGGGTTCCCCAACTGGCGACCCGCTGGCCGAATTTGGAATGCGGGAGGTTTTATTTGGCCTCCCCATGTTTTCTGAGCACAAAATATATATACAGTACCAGTCAAAAGTTTGGACACACCTACCCACTCCAGGGTTTTTCTTAATTTTTACTATTTTCTACATTGTAGAAGAATAGTGAATACATCAAATCTAAGATATAACACATATGGAATCATGTAGTAACCAAAAAAGTGTAAAACACTGTGGAGGCCAGGTCATCTGGTGCAGCACTCCATCACTCTCCTTCTTGGTCAAATAGCCCTTACACAGCCTGGAGGTGTGTTGGGTCATTGTCCTGTTGAAAAACAAATGATAGTCCCACTAAGCGCAAACCAGATGGGATGGCGTATCGCTGCAGAATGCTGTGGTAGCCATGCTGTTTGAGTGTGCCTTGAATTCTAAATAAATCACTGATATTGTCACCAGCAAAGCACCTCCACACCATCACACCTCCTCCTCCATGCTTCACGGTTGTAACCACACATGCAGAGATCATCCATTCACCCACACCGCGTCTCACAAAGCCACAGCAGTTGGCACCAAAAATCTCCAATTTGGACTCCAGACCAAAGGACAAATTTCCACCGGTCTAATGTCCATTGCTCGTGTTTCTTGGCTCAAGCAAGTCTCTTCTTCTTATAGGTGTCCTTTAGTAGTGGTTTCTTTGCAGCAATTCGACCATGAAGGCCTGATTCACATAGTCTCCTCTGAACAGTTGATGTTGAGATGTGTCTGTTACTTGAACTCTGTGAAGTATTTATTTGGCCTATTTCTGAGCATGGTAACTCTAATGAACTTATCCTCTGCAGCAGAGGTAACTCTGGGTCTTCCATTCCTGTGGCGGTCCTCTAGAGAGCCAGTTTCATCATAGTGCTTGATGGTTTTTGCGACTGCACTTGAAGAAACTTTCTAAGTTCTTGAAATGTTCCTTATTGACTGACGCATTAAGAAGGAAAGAAATTCCACAAATTAACTTTTAAGAAGGCACACCTGTTATTTGAAATGCATTCCAGGTGACTACCTCATGAAGCTGGTTGAGAGAATGCCAAGAGTGTGCAAAGCTGTCATCAAGGCAAAGGGTGGCTATTTGAAAAATCTCAAATATAAAATATATCTTGAGTTGTTTAACACTTTTTTGGTTACTACATGATTCCATATGTGTTATTCTACTATGTCAAAAACAGTAAAAATAAAGAAAAAACCTTGAATGAGTAGTTGTGTCCAAACTTTTGACTGGTAGTGTATATATATATATATATATATATATATATATATATATATATATATATATATATATATATATATATATATATATATATAAAATAAATAAATAATAATAATATGTATATATATACAGTACCAGTCAAACGTTTTCATTGTTGGACTTTAAAAATGTAAAAACCTTCAGGAAATCAGCTCCAAGTGATTTAAATTTGGGAAATGTGTTCACAACTATTCCCACACATAATAAAGAGACACGTGATCATATACAAATGTAAGCAAGGTTTGAAATTATGATGTTTTAGTCAAATATTATATGTTTGGGCTTCTTGCAGCCAATTATGTTCCGGCCCCCAGACCATCTGCTCAAGAAAATAATTGATGATTTGATGATTCCTGGTTTAGAATCACAAAGAGGCCGAATCAGACAAATGAACACGTTTAATATGCCTGCCTTTCCTACACACTTCTCAGTAGTTGGTATTCAGACTTACCTTATGGAGGGGCTTAACAAGGTTTTCGGGCAAGGTTCCCTTGCGTGCATTTAATACATTTAATTCAACCTCAGAAAACACACCCACTTGGTGGCCTACCATTTTAATCAGGGAGGTTTTGTTCACTCGTTTTTCTGTTCATTTATCTAAAGCAATCTCTTTAAATACTGTGCACCTATAATTAGAATTTGATCGCCACAAGACTTGAATGTAGAGAATGTGTTCAGAATATAGAAAGATAGCCATGAAAACATATGCATATTTGTCTCTGTTTCAGAACTCATGGGTCAATTTTAAAACACTGATTTTACACATTATTTATGTTTAGGGAAAGTCATGAATCCTACTTCATGTACAAAATAAAGCCTTTATGTACAAAAAAAAGGTGTTTTGATTAATTTTGAAAGTTGCCACATTCAGTTAATCAATGGTAAGGTTGAAAGTAGTCTAGCCTACAATAGTTTTATAATTATAGTATGGAGAATAGTATACAATAGTATGATATAATAAACATACTCTAATTTCCCGCACTAATCATGGAACTGTGCAAAGTGTTGCGCCGTGCGTCAAGATCAAAGTATCGGTTTGAGCTCCATAATGATTTAACAAGCCTATATGCCCCCGATTTATTTTTACTACAATTTGTATTTGGCCTTCATTAAATAGCATTCACTATTACTTGACCCTCAGCCACAGCCACAAAGACGTGACAGCGTTTACAGAGGAACGAGATAAAGCTAGGCTAAATCAAACGATGTAATGGAATGATACGAATGTAAGGAAGGGAACGAACACTAAATTGGCAGTTAAATATAGTGGCTAATAAGGAAAAAGGAAACGTTGGGGCATATGATTAAAACGTTCTAGAGAGCACAATGGCTACATTTGGCGCAACTCTTTACCTTGTCATCTCATTTGGCGTGTCTCCAAATTTGATCCCTGCAAGTTATAAGGCCATACAATAAAGATTCTGCATAACCGCACATATTTCATACTTCACTCATTTACCTAGCTCTTATCAATAAGCTCTTATCAATTTATAAATGACAGTGTATGGAGAATGCTGTTACTTCTATTGGGGGGAAATAAAGTAGATGCTTTTCCCACTTAGAACCGGCAGGTTTGCTCGAACCTTATTAATGGATTCCTCGACGGTAACGGTGGTGAAATTATTACGGGACAAAATCAAGGTCAGACACAACCTCAATTTCTGGCGTTTCCCCACGCTTTAGAATACAAATAGCGAGGAGAGTGCATCAAAAAAGAATAAAGTTCCATTTATGCGCATGGAACCTCCGGTCTGAATCCCATCCTAAAAGAGCGAATTGATACATTTTAAGTAATTTTAAGTAATAACTTTTCAATAATTACAGCTAGTTACAGAAGGTATTTACCTTCAACACAGTTGGTAGAGAAGAAGGCGATATTCCTGGTTTCCAGGGGGTTGTCATTGCTAAAATCGGGACTACGAGTTTGGGGCTCAGATTCACCAGTGAGGGAGGAGTTGTCCACCTGAGTGGGAAAAGAGAATTGCATCAATACAACAATGAATGAATGACATTTACGTGTGTGACACGACTTCATGTATTTTTATGTATCCACCTTGCAGCCGCTGGCAGAGATGATACGCAAATCAGCTGGGATCCTGTCTCCTCCTTTCACCTCCACTATATCGCCAACCACCACTTCTTCAGTGTTGATGTTCTTCCTCTCACCATCACGGACAACCAGGGCTTGCTACAAGGCAGATGACAGGATTAACATCTGTAGAGGTAACTATATGATCAAGTTCTTCTCAGAGGTGTTTGAAAATGCAGTCTAACCTGTGGGACCAGGTTCTTGAAGGAGTCCATGATCTTTGAGCTCTTGGCCTCTTGGTAGTAGGAGAAACAACCAGTGATAATGACGACAACAGCGAGCACAAGACCCAGGTACAACTGTTAGGCAGAAAGATTATGAGAATATTGCGTTATCGTTACGTAGAAAAACCCTTTCCATCACTGGAGGCTTTGTGTTTTTTTGTCAAGTCTCAAATTATCTCTGAATTCTATGATTGTATGATTCTCACATTAGCATTGGTCGGCTCTTCCTCTGAGGTGACCTGGATAATGTGTGCCATGAAGCAGAGCACAGCTCCGATCCACAGCAGCATGCAGAACCCGCCAAAGAGCTGCTTGCAGAACTTCACCCACTCAGGGGTAGTGCGGGGAGGAGTCAGGGTGTTGGGGCCGTCGCGAAGAAGGATATCCTTAGCCCGAACCGAAGATAGACCCTGGGTGGAGGAGGGATGAGAGAGAAAGAGAGAGGGAAAATGGAAAAGAGGACAGACAGATAGAAGAGCAACACGGAGTAAGTGAAGGGATGTCACACAATCGGAAAATATATATTTGACTCCAAACTCTGTGTAAACTTTAGGAAGATATAGATACGTTTCATATGAAAAGATTCAGTGGTAGATAGTGATTTCATCATGACACTGAAAGCAGATGAAGTTCTACCTATGCTATGACCTTGTGCCGTAACCTCCACGACCTCAGTACTCTTCCAATTTCAGTCAGCTGTAATCCTTAGGAGCAACTGATCCAAGTGGTTCTCAATGTTACAAACGGAGGCACACATGCACACACATACATATTCACTCACCCTGGCTAAGTCTGTGCCGTATTTCCTGTTAAGTTCATCAAAGGTCAACTTGTGGTCATCCTAAATCAGAGAGAGAGAGAGAGAGAGAGAGAGAGAGAGAGAGAGAGAGAGAGAGAGAGAGAGAGAGAGAGAGAGAGAGAGAGAGAGAGAGAGAGAGAGAGAGAGAGAGAGAGAGAGAGAGCTTGTTGAACTAGGTAGTTCTCTAATCTTTCCCCCTTGGCAGAAGTAAACAGAACATATAGTTATGAAACACATTCCTCCAATAATTTGAACTGATTCTAGGTATGACAAGGTCATGCAGCACAGATTTAAATCTAAACCATAGAAGAGTCATTCGTTTCTGTATGATGGATGGAATCGCTCTGAATCATGACTGAATCCATTACTGAATTTTACATTCGTGCCCTGAAAAAGTACTGCACAGTGCACATATCCGTTTTCTATTCCGCTACAGGCAAGAAAGCAGTTTCCAAAGATAGGCTAATGTTTCTTTAAAGTTTAAACGCAGGCTATTGGGGTTTTAGAACTGCCCACCAAGACTCACTGCAGAGTAATAGTATGTAAATGTAAAATGCAAATGAGTGGCCAAATGCAAATCTAGAAACCAAAGAGCTTTATACACGCTTGATAGGTTGTATGCTGCACCTTTTCTTGTCCACAGAGACTAATAGGCTTACGCTGTAAAGGGGTTGCCATGAATTTGACAGTAACTTACAGGCAGCTAGTGGTGAGTAAGTTACTGAATGTCATATTGCTTACTGTTATGTAAATAAAGTATCAGAGCAAGTACTGTGTAATGACAGTAAATTATCGTAGATTTTACTGTATTATACTGTTAATATAAAAATAAAAATAAAGTTTTATTTTCACATACACTGGATAGGTTTGATGAAATGTGTTGTTTTACAGTTATATATACAGTTAAAGTTAAAAATGTGTTAAAAAAAAGTTAATACTACTGACTGTAATTGGAATGAATGAATGGATGAATGAAATTAATTGAGGGGAGAATGGGTTTGTATTTCACAATGTTTTACTCTAATGGACATGGGATTGGTACAAGCAGGTTAGCTGCTAGGTAGTGCTTACACATTACAGCATATCAATGAATATTTGGTGTTTTATATCATTTGCACTTCTAGAGGCCTTAACAAAGGCTTCCAAACTGTCAGCAACAACAGGGCAAAACAGACCAAAAAGACATGGCAAAACGCTCAACCGTTAAAGGTTGAAGACTTACTGCCACTCCAATATGTTCCCTATCCATTTGAAATTGATGGGGCACTACTACCACAGACCAGTTAAATTGGTACAACATTCTCACTAACGGGTGCAACAAATATAGCCTCTTACAAGGCAAGCCTCAAAATATGGTCATGAGCCAGAAGCAACAATACCATGCACCCACTAGTGGTCAAAAGGTTTTTGGGGCTCCAAAAAAACGTTATGGTACTGTATTCTGTGGGATGGAATTACAGTACCATTCAAAATACAGCAATTATTTCCCCGCCCAAATTACCGTATAACATTACTGCATTGCTGTATTATTTACTATAGTATTTTGGTTTATTATCTTTGACATAGAAGGAGAGGCTTTCTCCTTCAGGAAACCTACTGAAGAAATACTAAAAGAGAACATTTTCCATAACCTGTAGGTAGGTAGGATAGGGGTCTGAACGGATAATTTCTTACATATGGGTGGCACACATTGAAATATGGGGGAATGGAATGGGCAGGGTATATGCAAATAAAATACTGTAGTAGTTAATATAGTTTAAAAAGTGTAGTGTTTTTGCAGACTGTAGTGTTTTTGCTGACATTACTGTAGTATTTACTACAGTGTTTCTTTAACCAATAATACTGTCATATTTACTATAGCATTCTACAGTAAGTATACTACAACATTCTATAGTAAGTACTACACATGATTGAGGGATACTACAGTGTATAGTATAGTATTCTACAGGTTACTATAGAATTATATAGTTAGTACTGTAGTATTCTATAGTAAACTGTAGTCTTTTTTAATGTGGGAAAAAAACTTTTTTTGTTTACTGTGCACCTTTGTCTTTTCTTATTGAAAATACAGACATTTTTGAAGCTATGTCACTGTATCTATTTTAAACAAATTGCATATGGATTAACGTGCATTGTCCATGTCAACTAAATTAGATGAATAGATTGAATAAATGAATAAATAATCGGTTTTTCCTCACCAGGTCAACTTCCTTTTTCAGGTCGTCCATGTCCGTCTTCTCCTTGGCTTTCTTCACCTGCTTTTCACTCTTCTTCTTTCCATCGTCCTCTGACGTCGCCGCCTGTTTATAATCATCTTTCCCCTTCTGTATGTCAAAAGGTACGTTAATGAAGAGGAGGTGTAAACTATCAATGTGCCTCTTTGCTAATCAGGTGTAGAAATTCAATTTAGAAATGTATAAAATCCCCTTAAGAAGCAGCTATTAACATAAAATATAGAGCTAAACGTTTTTTGCATGTATGAACTGCAAAAAAAAAACATGTTTTTAGTTAAGTTGAAAGAAAACAAAATAAGTCAATCCAAATCCTGATAATTAAAATTGCAATGCAGACTTACTACAAGCCCCATCCTTGCACCGCTGTCTCAATCCCAGTGGTTTTGTAAAGATCATTTATTTCCTCCTTATCCTGAGAGACTCCACCTGTTGCACGTCTACACCTGTCTCTCTCCCTCTTTCTCCACGTTTCGAGGCAACCAAGAGCTCCCTGGGTAGCTAACTGAGGTTTGAATATTTATATGGTTTACCTGGCCAAGGGGAGGTGCACAGGAGGAATGAGTCAGATGAGTGGAGAGGGGGCTGAGGATGGGAGGGGTTGGGGAGAAGGAGTTGGATCTGTGGCAATCTTCACCTGTACAGCTAGGTCATTTTGACCGCGAGCCCCCATAAAGAAAGCATCCCTGTCGGAAGTTTACAGTACTCACAATAAACAAATGGGTTTAAAATAACCCAACCAGTAACCCAACCATTTGCCTCTATAGCACCTACAATACCATGTGTAGGTAGTTGGAAGTTTACAGTACTCACAATAAACAAATGGGTTAAAAATAACCCAACCAGTCATCCAACTATGGGTCACTATAGCGGCCACATGTAGATATTTGTGTAGCAATCCGTATTTGTGGAACAATCTTCAAAATGTTCTTAATTCTAATGGTTTTTGTGCCTCTAGGTCAATTCAGAAAGCTGATTGAGGACTTTATTACTGATGAATGTGTTGGTTTTTTATGACAGTGTTTTTCTTTCTGCTTGAATTTTGTATTTATATTTTTTGATTTCTGTAATTTAGGGCTCATCTGTAAAAGAGACCTTGGTCTCAGTTTGACTCCATGATAACATAATGAAATAAATAAAATAAAATAAATAAATAAAGGTAGTCGTAAGTTTACAGAACTCTCACTAAAAACAAATGGGTTAAAAATAACCCAACCAGTAAACGGTAAAGGATGAGGACAATGAATGAATGGAGAACATGGTCTTTCTCTCTGCCGTACTTTGTGACTTACTGGTTGAATAGAACACCATCCTGCCCCTTTGAAGCTGAATACAGAGTGATGTCATGAAAAGCTGATGAAGGGGAAATCTGCAGTTGCTACATCCATTTTTGTACTTATAAATTATTGATATGTACCTATTGATTCTTGAAGTGATTACCCTTGAAACATGCCAGGAGAGGTTGTGGTTTGGTAGGCAGGGTGGAAGGCTGTGGGTGTCTGTTTAGTAAACCTCTGGCTGTTTGTGGTTGTGGGACCATGTCTATGTTCCCTTAGTGAGGTGATCCACTGTTGCATGAATTAATAAATAAGGACCAATAACAGATCAGACCCATGTTTATTGGAACACATTGTTTTTGTCCCTTGCATAGAACCGGGAATATAGACAAAAGGTCATATTGATTTTGATTTGATAAGGATCCCAATTAGCCGACGCCAATGGCAACAGCTAGTCTTACTGGGGTCCGACACATAACACAAAATACATTACAGTTAACCAGCCCTGGGATAACGATAGTTTTAACTATGCTTTGTGGAAAGTAACTATTTTTTTGGGGGGAAGAAATTGTTACTTTGGAGGCGACTGCAACTGTTTGAATACAGATCCCCAGAAAGTACTACTTATGAAACCTATTTGAATATCTGTAACGGGGGAGAACCGTCAACCTATTTTGAACACATCCGTGTTGGTCTGCCTGTGCCAGGTGTATGTGATTGTTAATTAAGGGTGTGGCCTTGTGTATAAAAACCTTCCTGTTTGTGTCATTCAGGGGATCCCCTTATGATGTGCTTGTCGGCGTGCCTTTGGAGGACGGGAGTGGGGATGGTGGTTTTAATTAAGTAAGTATGAGAAATAGGAATTATTTTTAGGCGTTGGCGTCCACATTTTTAGGCGTTGGCGACCATATTCCACCTAGACCTTCTCTCCTTTTTCCTGTGCTCCGTGAGTGTTACAATACATTCTTGTCTGAGTATATGAATGAAACGTATAAACCTAGTGATATTTGTCTGTGGGAAATCTGATATTGTCATCTGTTGAGGTCTGTCTTGTAGGACAGTTGTACAGAGCTTCTGGAATGGATGTATCGGAATGATGTAGGCCTATGGAGATGTCATTCTTGTGATGCTGGAAATGAAAATAAATTGTTTCATCCTGATATTGTCAGGTTCCCATGGTCCACTCCTTGATGTAAAGAACCTGTTATGTTTAGATGAGTACTGAGGACCTCAAGTATTTAAAAGGTGGTGTAGTACTGCTACTGAAATGGTATATATTTGCGTAAATCCCTCACGTTACACACAGATCTCAGGAAAGTGACTACTTTTCTGAAGCTATTGGATTTGCTGCCTTCAACTAATGGCAGGGCTGTATCTGGAGCTGCATGTTGAAGATATAAATATAATGAATAGAGCACATACAACCTCCTGTACTATTCCAATCTATCTGACAGTCATATTGGAGCTACACAATACATTTCTATCTGAACATTCTGTATATTTCCATTCTCCTGAATGTCCATTGCCCCAAGTTTACATAATTAAATCAAATGATATTTAACCAATGATATTTTGTACAGATAAGTATTAATAAGTTAAATGCTTAACTACTGTATGACTCTGTCAACATGCCCCTGAAAAAGTTGAAAGCTGCAATTAATTTTATGATGCCTGAAAATACTGTAGAGTAATTCAAAGTTGTAGTGGAAGGAGAGAAGGTGATAGTTGCAGGCACTGAGGCCCAGCGTGATGACTCAATACATTTTTTTATGACATTGTTTGGATGGCTGCCCATCTGTGGGCTATCACAGGGGTCAAACACACTTTATCTGTGGCTTTCTCCGGGGCAGGACGTTCCTACAGAACCCTGGGAGCACGGACGCCGTTGGAGTTGTGAAGACTGATACAATTTTAATGACTAAATTAATATTACTGTGTGAATTAAATTGTCATGTTTGGATTGTTTCAAGAGTTCATAAAGAGCTATGAATTTTGATATGTTTTATTATACTGTAAGTGTTATGGATTTATTGTTACAAGGTGACTTATTTTGTTCGAATGGCGGATAGTTCAAAGAGGAGCAAAACATGATGGCGTCATTTAAATTGAGTTGATTAGATTCTGGGTGTTCCTGTCTTGTTTTTACTAGCAAATTGCACATAAATGCTAATTCAGGTTTGGGGGTGAGTTCATACTTTGACATTTTATTTTTATTTTTTAAATTATTTTGAACTGAAGACACATTATTGTCTGTTTTGAGCATGTGAATGAAACCTATAAACTCCTGAAACCCAGCAAAACAAAATAATTCAGTTGAAGTCGGAAGTTTACATACACCTTAGCCAAATACATTTTAACTCAGTTTTTCACAATTCCTGACATTTAATCATAGTAAAAAGTCCCTGTCTTAGGTCAGTTAGGATCACCACTTTATTTTAAGAATGTGAAATGTCAGAATAATAGTAGAGAGAATTATTTCTTTCAGCTTTTATTTCTTTCATCACATTCCCAGTGGGTCAGAAGTTTACATACAGTCAATTAGTATTTGGTAGCATTACCTTTAAATTGTTTAACTTGGGTCAAACGTTTTGGGTAGCCTTCCACAAGCTTCCCACAATAAGTTGGGTGAATTTTGGCCCATTCCTCCTGACATAGCTGGTGTAACTGAGTCAGGTTTGTAGGCCTCCTTGCTCGCACACGCTTTTTCAGTTCTGCCCACAAATTTTCCATAGGATTGAGGTCAGGGCTTTGTGATGGCCACTCCAATACCTTTACTTTTTTGTCCATAAGCCATTTTGCCACGACTTTGGAAGTATGCTTGGGGTCATTGTCCATTTGGAAGACCCAATTGCGACCAAGCTTTAACTTCCTGACTGATGTCTTGAGATGTTGCTTCAATATATCCACATCATTTTCCTTCCTCATGATGCCATCTATTTTGTGAAGTGCACCAGTCCCTCCTGCAGCAAAGCACCCCCACAGCATGATGCTGCCACCCCCGTGCTTCACGGATGGGATCGTGTTCTTCGGCTTGCAAGCAACCCACTTTTTCCTCCAAACATAACGATGGTCATTATGGCCAAACAGTTCTATTTTTGTTTCATCAGAACAGAGGACATTTCTCCAAAAAGTACAATCTTTGTTCCCATGTGCAGCTGTAAATTGTAATCTGGCTTGTTAATGGTGGTTTTGGAGCAGTGGCTCTTCCTTGCTGAGCGGCCTTTCAGGTTATGTCGATATAGGACTCGTTTTACTGTGGATATAGATACTTATGTACCTTGTTTCCTCCAGCATCTTCACAAGGTCATTTGCTGTTGTTCTGGGATTGATTTGCACTTTTCGCACCAAAGTACGTTCATCTCTAGGAGACAGAACGCGTCTCCTTCCTGAGCGGTATGACGGCTGCATGGTCCCATGGTGTTTATACTTGCGTACTATTGTTTGTACAGATGAATGTGGTCACTTCAGGTGTTTGGAAATTGCTCCCAAGGATGAACCAGACTTGTGGAGGTCTACAATTGTTTTTCTGAGGTCTTGGCTGATTTCTTTTGATATTCCCATGATGTCAAGCAAAGAGGCACTGAGTTTGAAGGTAGGCCTTGAAAGACATCCAAAGGTACACCGCCTTGCAAAAGTATTCATCCCCCTTGGCGTTTTTCCTATTTTGTTGCATTACAACCTGTAATTTAAATTGATTTTTATTTGGATTTCATGTAATGGACATACACAAAATAGTCCAAATTGGTGAAGTGAAATGAAATAAATAACTTGTTTAAAAAAATTCAAAAAAATAAATAACGGAAAAGTGGTGCATGC